CGAAGCAGGACACTTAACCACTGCGCCACCGGGCTGGCCCTAGCTTTTCTCTTTTAAAAAATTACAAAGGAGCTTCTCTTTATGATCTAATTTTCAGTGTACATGCGTAGTACAAATTCCCTGATTTGGGTGTGTTTGGATAATGGAGGGAAGATTGAAATTCTGTGGGTGATTATGGCCTAGAGGTAAAGGATAACATCTGATCTTGCAAGGTTAAGACTGTAATGTTGACATTTGAATACTGTCGAGTGCCATTATTGAAAATGCTGTTCTGTACAGACATCAGCATGTTCTTGCCTGATTGAACTGAGGTGGGTCAGAAAAGCAGGCCTTGGCAGAGGCACTTCCTCACTGATGGAGATAGACATTCTGAGTTGTGACTTTACAGCCCGTGCCAGGTAGGCAGGAAGCCAGGACTGCAGCAGCAGCAACAAATTGAGAGGAGTGTCTAGCTAATGGAATCGCAAGGTACAGAGTGGCAGCAAGGGCATCCTGCTTTCTTCCAGTTTGAAACAGCGTGAAGGTACTGCGAGTCAGGAGACCAGGGCCCTAGGTTCAGCTCTGGCACTCATTAGCTGTGTGACTTCAGGCAGCTGGCTGCCCTTTCTGTCTCAGTTACCTCATCAGCAAATTGAGAATGAGAAAACCTGCCCCATTACCTGAGAGAATGCTTATAAGGACAGATGAAACTTTATTGATAGAAGGTACTGTTATCTTGACATCCTGGAGACCCTCTACATTGAAATATTCAAGAAACAAGTTAAGGATTGAGGGTGTGTTGGCTTGGTGAGTGAGGAGAGGACATTTGGTGATCCGGTAAATGGAGTAACCACACGCAGAGCATTCCCCACCACGTTGTGGAAACCTCAACAGTGAACAAAGTGGCTCTCAGAAAGCAGGGAGCAGCCGTGGGTGATGTTCTGGTGAGGTTCCATTGAGGTACCTCAACCTGGTTGCCATTAGCTGTTTGTTTCGTATGGGCCCGTGCTCTTCCTAAGCGCTTCGGAGCTGCCCAGCCACTTTGCTTACATCACCAATCTGGCATCTAATCTTGGTAACTTTTGCTCATCAAATTCCTAAAATGTTAGAAAATACATAAGAATAGATAAGTTGATGGGCTTGTCTGCCTGCCTGCCTTTCTGTTTTCTCAGCGGTCACTTTATCTCTGCGATTCCCTAGTGCCATCTGGGCCCCACGCTCCTCCCTGCCTCCTCCACTCCCTCAGCAGCATTTCGTACGTACACAGATGCCTCCTCACTCCACCGACTGTCAGAAACTCAGTTTCCTTAGCAGTAGTAGTCTTCTTCTCCTTGTACTGGAAAAGTGTTCTCCTTGTCCTCGGATTGCTCACAGCTCTGATGCTTATTGAAGACGTGGAGTGCAAGCTAAAGATACTAATTCCCCTTCTGCTTCTTTACTCTCTGGGGTGAGGCTGTCTCCCTTCTCTGGCAGTTTAGGGCAGGGAAAATAGCAGTTTCACAGGTCTCCCAGTCTTCACTCCTTCCATCCCAGCCCCCAGGTTGTTGCTAGAATGATCTTTCTAAGTGGAAACGTTACTTGCTCAAAGCCCGATGACTCCTCTCTGGCCATCCAGCCCCCACCAGCCCTGCAGGAGCACAAATGGCTGTTTGTCCTGCACCGTGTTGGCCTCCACAAGGTTTAAAACAATTTGAATTAGTAAGAACATTGAAGATTGGAAGATGTCTTATAAAATCCAAGACTTGTGTTTCTCTTGGAAGATTATTAAATGGCAACACTGGGCACCAGGAGCTGGGTGGGGCCACTGCTTAGCATGGCAGTGTTCTCCAGATAGCCCAGCTACCACCCAGGCCGTGTCAGTCCCTTACATTATCTGGGGACTTGTATTTGCTCCCCCCACTACAGAAGCATGTTCAACTTGGGTTAAGATCAACTCCTTAGCAGGTGTACAGGATCCTTCTCAATTTGGCCCCACCCTGCCTGTGTCCCTCACCTCCTGCCACATTCCTGCAGGCATTCCCACAGTAACTGTGCTACCAAATGGATAGTTGTTTGCCTGTTTGAGTTTGGTTTCTCATATGTTTTATTTCGTTTTATTTTTTACCAAAGAGACCCATTTTGCAGATCCCTGTGGAGCAGCCATTAGCAGCAAGGTGTGTGCCTGGCCTGGCCACAATTGTGGAGTGTTTATAAGGGGTTACATTTTAGATTTTCATGGTGTATTGATCCAAAGCTTCTGTGAAGGGCAAGAAGCAGAGGAAGGAAGAGAATAGATGGGGCCCTTTCTGTGCTTAAGATCATTTCCAAAACAAATACGTTTAATTTGGTTACTCGGTTATATATTAGCAGACATTCTGCTCTGCGAAGGTAAGGTGTAGCAGCAAAATGATGGTTTACCTTGGTTAGGATATCTGTTGTCAGACATTGCCCTTTCTTTCCCAGAATTATGGGAAAATTGATGTATCAGTTATCCCCATTACTTGTACTTCTAGACAATAAAATCAATTCAAGCTGGTGAGTAGTTACTTACTTTGTTGCTGTTCACATTAAGGCCAGGAGCTTGCAGAGGAGTGATTTTTCAGAAACTGAGCATTTGATTCTCTAGTTTCAGGAAATTGCTGTATAGGTTGGGCTTTATCTTACTGGGGCCATCGCTTGTCCCAGGTTCCATTCTGTGCTGGTTCAAAAACGTGACTTCCCCAGGAGTCAGGCTGTAGGAATTTGTCATCCTAGCCAAACTCATAAGGTCTATTTGTAAACTAGAATATTCCTTTTCTGCACATTTATGAAACACCTACTGAATGTGTGGCCCTGTCCTAATCTCTGGGGAAACAAAAATAAATCATAAATACGAATGTGGTCCCTGCTGTTGAGAAGCATATGGTCCAGAAGTGGGCTGAATATGTAAACAAATCGTTACGTACAGTGTGGTGAGTGTCGGGTAACCTTACATCATGGGGCGGCCTGGTTTATGTCTGTTGTCCTGGTGTAGCTATTAATAGGGTCCTCTATCAGAAGTATCTAAGGGCCACAGTAAAAATTCTCAGTGAATCTTTGGGGTATAGAGATGGTAGAAAGGAGGGAGAAATCAGCCTGCCTTCCCAGAGAAGACAAGAGCTGGGTGATGAAGGAAGTTTGGGTAGTCAAGGCCTGGGAGCTTGAGGTGGGGCGAGGGGGGAGGAAATGTGTAAAACTCTGCAGGCGAAAGGGAGATTGTTCCAGAAGCTTCGGTTAGTTGGTTCAACCTACTCATTGTTTCCCAGATTTATCCTGTGAAAAAAATTCCCCAGGACACTTGGTAAAAATACGGCTTTCCAGATCCTGCTGGCAATTTGGATTGTGTTTTTAAAGAAGCATCCCCGATGATTCTTGGACATTAAGGTTCAGAACTAATTCTCTACTGATTATGGCTAAGAATTCAAAGGGTGGGGAGTAGAGGAGAGCAGGAACAGCAAGACTAGAGCACAAGTCACAGATCAGCCAGGCAGGGGTGACCCTACATGAGAAAACCCTGAAAGGTAGAACCAGTTGGGGGACATTTACAGTAGATCTATGAAAAATGAGGAGTGCAACAACTATGTCAGTCACAACAGCAGAGGAATGAAAAGGTTTGAGAAGTAGTCGGGGTTGAATAAACAGAACCTAGTATATGCCAAATACTGATATACATAGGGTAATATTATTACAGGTAACACTTATGTCAAATCCAGGAACCTGGGGGACCTTATATTCTGAAGGTTTATGCAGTGAGCCATAAACCTAAAAATACTGACTGTTGGAGAGTCTTGTGGCACATTTCATGTGGACCTAAAAAAAAGACTCCTGCTTACTTTACACGTTTCTAGTCTCCAGAACAGTAGTGACAGTTTTGTTTATCTCTCGGGGGGGGAGCTGGATGCATTCTAAAGCCTCCTGTCACCCCCACCCTTTTCTCGACACTCCAGGCAAACCCCTGCGCTTCTGTCATGGTAAAACTACCTGCCACGCCTTATCTGGCATTATTTTTGCTTTTGTTTTTGTTATGGAATGTGTAAGACACTCAGGATTCATGAACAATATATGAGCCAACCCCTTTCAGGGGGTCGGTCTGTCTCCTGGACTTTCAGCACGAGTTTGAGTTTGTTGCTAGATCCACCGCCACTCTGGGAAATTACAGTAGTACGAGAAACGCCTTCTCCAGCAAGGAGATCGTGAAGCCTGCTGTGCACTGGGCATTCTGAGAAGCAGTCCCTAAATGGAAAATGAAGAAACTCCGAGGAGAGCTCTGCTATTCCCCTCTGCCTTCAAACATAAAGAGGGTTTTTATTTGGAAGGCTGCCTTCACCAGGCCTGTTGGCATTCTGAAGCAGCTAACGAAGTCAGAAATCAAAGACTTGGGAGTTATGAAAAAAATCCTCAAAACGGAGAATGGAAAACCGATCAGGCTATAATTTCACGGGGCAATTTAGCACCCCTCACCCAAGACCTGGCCACGGAGCGTCCACGAGTGCGGACTGGGGAGGGACAACGCCTCTAAAATTCCAGTCCTTGGTACTCCTGTAGCGTTGCTGAGGGCTTTCCAAATCCTGGGAGGACAGGGTTGAAGGTGAACGGGCTGAAATCTTCCACGCTGTCAATGTCAGGGAGGAGAAAAGCACCAATCAACAGCGGCCTCAAAGTTTTCTTCTAAGGGGCTTAACTTCTGTGCGACCCGCTATCACCAAGGCCATTAAGTCACAGTAGCAGGATGAAAAAATAAAAATAAAAAATGGAGGAGGAAAGTCCAGCGGACACGGACCCAGAACGTGGGTCTCCGCTGCTGCGGCGGCTGACCGAGCTGTTGGGGGCGCCTGGGTCCTCGGCCGGCGGCCAGAGCCGCGCCGGGAAGCCCCTGCCCGCAGTCCAGGCGCGACCAGCGTGGCGCCGCGGGGGGGGATCCGGCCGGCGCGCCGCCGACTTCAAAGGCCCGGCGCCGCCGCCGCCCCCGCCCGGGCGCGCGAGTAGTACGGTCCGAGGGGGCGGCTCCTGGGGCGCGGCTCCCGCCGCAGCTGATGCGCGCCCGGCCGGCCGGAGGCGGGAGCCGGGAGCTGGAGACCCCGAGACCCCGAGACCCCGAGCCGGGCCCTGCGGAGGCCCCAGGAGAGGCGTCTTCCCGGCGGGAAGGGGCCCGGCGCGGGGGCGCCGCGGCCGCGCGGTTTGGGCAGGAGGACGAGGAGGAAGCGGCGCTGCCTGCCGGCGAAGAGGAAGCGCTCCACCCGGGCCCCCGACGGCGCTCGTTTAACCACATCCGCGCCTCCGCTGGAAACGCTCACAGGCGCCTGTCACCGGTTCCCTCCATTTTGAAAGGGAAAAAAGGCTCTTCCCCCTTCCCCTCCTCCTAGGAGCTGGAGCCGGAGGAGCCGCGCTCATGGCGTTCAGCCCGTGGCAGATCCTGTCCCCCGTGCAGTGGGCGAAATGGACGTGGTCCGCGGTGCGCGGCGGGGGCGCCGGAGAGGACGAGGCCGGAGGGCCCGAGGGCGACCCCGAGGAGGAGGACTCGCAAGCCGAGACCAAATCCTTGAGTTTCAGGCAAGTACACGCATCCCTGCCGAGATGCAAACGTGCTGCCATCCATCCATCTGCGGCTCATTCTGTGTGCGTGTGTGTGGTCGCCCACCCGCGTAACCATCTTCACGGCAATGCTACGTCCCTGCCCGTAACCAGGTCCTCGCTGTGCGTTCGGAAGTTCAGGATGTTCTGTCCTCCCGTGTATTTTCTTTCCCGCGTTTCAGTATGAGCTTTCTGAACCTAACGCAGAATCTGCAGTCTCTCCGCATCCCGGTCTGCCTCGGTCACTTTCTCTAAGCTTCGATCCCCCACCCCCCGCCCCTACACATAGACACACGCACATATAGACACTGTCGTTGATCACACCCGGTGGAACTTGGGGCCCCCACTGTGGGGAAGGAGTCGCTCCCAGGCCCTCCTGGGGCTCCACTGTGTCCCGAAAATGCAGCCATGGTAGAGAAGGTCGCGTGATGACAGGCCCCTGGCAGCTGGTGAGAAATGGTGGTCTCTGCTGAGCTGTCACCCATGTGATTGCGGAAGGCAGGTGACAGCATTTTCAGCCTCGGGCCGAATGAATTCCAAACAGGTAGAGGCCTGCCGAGGAAAAAGGCGACATGGAGAGAATTGCCTTAGTGTTTTAAGCGGGGGTGGGCGGCAATCTTAATTTTTAAGCCTCTGGGAAAGGGCTCTTGTGAGAAAAGGAGTCTGTTGGAAAGCGCTTTTTTTGGGTGTCAGAGGGAAAGATGACCTCAAAAATAAATGGTGCTGGAGAAAAGCTCCGGAGGATGGAGGAGATATCAGGGCGACAGGATGCCAGACAGAAGCCCGAGGAGGGCCCTGCTAGAAAACCCGCAGCAGCTCCCACAGGCGAGTCCGTGCTGAGGACCAGTGGGTTGTAAAGTTAGGCAGAAATCCTGGACTAGCCTTTGTGGATGTTTACATTCCTAAGGGTGTCGGAAATACCGTTGAAAGTGGTAATTCCTCATTTTTCCCCCTTGGCAGCTCGGATTCTGAAGGTAATTTTGAGACTCCCGAAGCAGAAACGCCTATCAGATCACCTCTCAAGGAATCCTGTGAGTCATCTCTGGGATTGGCAGGACCCGAGGCCAAAACCCAAGGTAAAGACAGACTTTCATTTTCTGGCTCTTTTGTTTTAAAATTTTGGAAATGTAAATGAGGGAAGGAAAAGTGTTAACTTTGGGCCACATAAAAAGGTTTGGATTGTCTCTCTGCTGAGAAAACGCTGCTTTGAAGCTGGCTTATTTGACGTGTTTTTTTGTTTGCGTTTTAGGAGTGTGGTGGTCAGAGGCTTTCTTCCCTAAGCAGTTTGTGCATTTGCAGTGTGAGATTGTGGTTATCAGACATTCCTCCTGGGCCCATCCCCTCAGCCCCTACAAGACAAAAATGTGTGTAGTGATGCAGTGGTGGAGGGACGTAGAGATCTGGCTTCACAAATTTCTCAGGCTAACTCACTTTCCACGGGGTGTGGCTGGAGACAGCAATTATAGATAAGAGTTGACTCTTTTAGATGAGGAATCTTGAGAGGCTTTTTCAGAATTGTTTACGTCTCCCTCTTTTACACAGCGATGGTGGTGAGCCCTCAAGTCTACCTAAGAAAACCTGGCGCTGAGATCCTCTCCTGGCCCCTCAGCGCAACCTTGAGCCTCCCCTTCATCTGCTGAAGCTTCTGCTGTTCTGCTTAATTAGTAGAAACCTTTTTTGTCATATGGGCAGTTTTGAGTAAAATTTCTCCCGTCCTGATAGAATTCGTTTATCCGTTCAGTGAATAGAATGTGCTGTAATTCAGCAGTGAAAGAGTCCTGCTCTCAAAGTTAACGTCATGGAAGGAGATGGACCTTTGAAAGGTTAAGCAAAATACATATGTCAGCTTTTGTCTTAAGTATCGTGGAGAAAAGTAAAGCAGGGGAAGGAGGGCAGGGGTATATGGGCTGGGGACAGGAGATGCTGAAGGTGAAGTAGGGGAGAGCCTTACTAATAAGGGGACTTGAGCAGAGCCCTGAAGGAAGGTTGAGGGGACAGCCTTGCAGATTCCTAGGGAGAGAACCCTTCTAGCAGAGGGAATGGCGTTAGCGAAGCACTGAGACAGGACCAGCCTGGGACAGGGTGAGGCCTTCTGGGGGAGGGTGGCACATGTTTGAGGACCAGTGAAGAGGCCAGTGTGGCTGGAGTGGAGTGACTGGCAGGGCGCTGTGGGAGCCAAAGCCAGCCAGGTAAAGGGCGGTCCAGAACATTTTGTAATGCTTTTTTGATTTTCTTTCTGAGTGAGATAAGCCGTGGAGGACGTGTTAGTTTCCTAGGAGTGCCTTGAGAAAGTACCACAAATTGAGTGTGTTAAAACAACAGAAATGTATTCTCTCACAGTTCTGGAGGCTAGAAGTGGGAAATCAAGGTGTGGAAGCACCATACTCCTCTAAAGGTTCTGGGGAAGAATCTTCCTCATCTATTTTAGCTTCTGGTGGTTGCCAGCAATTCTTGGTGTTCCTAGGCTTGTGGCAACGTAGCTGCAGTCTCTGCCTCCTTCATTCATGGCCACCTTCTCCCTGTGTGTCTCTGTGTCTTCACGTGGCATTCTTATGAGGATACCAGTCATTGAATTTGGGGACCACCCTACTCCAGTATGACCTCATCTCAACTCCATTACATCTGCAGAGATGCTATTTCCAAATAAGGTCACATTCGCAGGTATGGGGAGTTAGGACTTCAGCGTTATGTTTGAGGGAACACAGCTCACCCCACAACAGAGTGCTTTGAGCAGAGGGTTCGTGCTTTGACTTCTTTTTTAAAACTGCTAGCTGGCTGTTCTCTGGAGAAGGGATTCTAGGTGGCTGTCCTTTTTGCATGCTTTCTCTATTCCAGTGTCTGTCACTGTCGCCCAACAGTGGCACATAGAGCCAGCTTTCAGTTATCCACTTACCTAGTTTTTGAACTGATTGCGACTTTTTCCTCCCAACAGTTGCCGTATTTTATTGTTTAGTAACTTCTTCACAGGTCGCCCAGGGAAGTCAGGCTCTCTGGGATAGACTCCTGATGGAGCTGGAACTGTTGGTGAAATGAGAGCAGCTTTTTGTGATTTGGTTTTACTTCACAGTGTGGGCTGCATTCTGTGCTTCCCCTGCTGAGAATTCAGCACTGCCCTCACCTTGCCCCTGGCTGCTTTTCCCCTTTGTTTTAGGCAGAGACTGCGTGGGAACAGGCAAGTTTATGTCTTGGGGAACCTGCATGTGGACGCTGCTCTGTAGCACTCTCAGCGACGGAAGATGTCGCTTGCTCTTCAGGCCTTCCCTTTTCTTCTCTCTAGATTGGCACACCAGAAGGGGGATTTGCAAGTTTCAAAGGACTATTTTGTGGCCTTCCTATCAAATTTGAATAAAGCTCACAAGACAAGTTGAGTAGCTGTTTGAAAGCCTCTTTGAATTGCCCTCAGCTAGGGCCAGCCCCTTCCTCACCATTCTGGTAGCTGGTAGTCTGATTCATCCTGACAGATTCTTTGCTAATTGAATAGAGGCCTGTATGGCCAGACCCCCAGAGCCATAGAGACCCATTTGTTTGGTCCTTCCTGTGCCGCTGACTCATTATTACAAATTTTGGTAACTTCCAGCTCACACTCTGTTTTTCACTCTCTCTAAAAATTTTTCTTTTAGAGAGTCATGGACCAGGAAAGCTCTGGGACGCAGTTCATGATTCAGACCACGTCTATGGTGGAGGGGTGGGAGGGGGGTGTACAGTCTAGGAAACAGCCGCTACCTTTTGTGAAGTCTCTCAGTTTAGGGTCTTTAAATAATAGGGTGGTTGCTCCTCAGCCTGGTAGTGTCCTGCCTTCTAGGGCGCCTTCCACCCATCCTCTAGAGCTAGTCCTGAGTCCTGTTGCTGGCCGTGTCCACAGGAAATGTGAGAGTACAACCAAAGAGGAGGGCTGAGCAGGGAAGATATCAGTGGGCAAAAATCCCTGGGGAGTCATTTCATGTTGAAGTCTAATTCCTGGGTCTGGATGGTTCTCTTTCTCCCCAGATTGTTGATTGTTTGGCTCCTGATAAAGTTAGTCTGTCCTGTTTCAGTGGTTCCAGAACATGGTGGGACAGCAGGTGTAGATTATATGAGACTGTATCTTCTGGAGAGATGACTTATGAGTTGTTAGCTAGCCATGGGTCGGAGTTAACGCATGTAGAAGATCCTGGCTTCCCAGTGTATGGTGGCACTCCAGTGTGTGGCCTGTATCCTGTATACCATACCCATGGCCCCCACTGTAACGTCTTTCAACTCAGGGAAGCTTCGCCATCTATTCTGAAGTCAATTTTTGGAGGGGAAGTTTTTTAGGGACTTACAGTATCTGAACTCTGTAATAACTCTTCTTAAGACAGAGTTGTATGTCATTCTCGAATTAAAACAGTGGATGAGGTTGTGGGGGGTTTTTTAAGCCACAGATAGAAGCCGGTTCAGTCTAATGGTAAAATAAAACTATAGCCCAAGAGGTTTCTTGAAGATACCAGAGTGGTGGCTCCAGTGTGTCTGGGCTGGTGGTTCTGTGTTTGCTGTCTGTCTGCCTTCCCCCACAAAGGGTGTTTAAGCTGCTGCTGTTGCTGTGCTTTTTGCGGGGAGGTGTGCCAGTGAGGAGACGTCACCTAGGAGAGGACTTGAAAGAGGTACAATCTGAAATTCAGTGTTTTAGCCTGTAAAAGCTGCAGCGGATATCCTTTGCTACTGGAGCCTCCCCACTCCCCTGTATTTACCCATTGTTACCTTTCTTTGAGAAAGAATCTTAATTCATGCTGAAGCTCTCCTACGCCCTTGGAACAACAAGTTAAACCTATCCTGTTTGATGTGTTAATTAGATGCCTGGAAATTTCAAAGACGTTCTGTAGTCCTCCCAATAGAAGGAAAGAGATAAACAGGATCAGTCCGCAGGTATTTACTGCTGGAGGCCTGTGGGGAGTGCAGGGTTGTTTGTTGACGCAATTTTGGTAGTCTGGATCAGGAATCAGCAAACTGTGGCCCGGAGACCTCATCAGACCTGCTGCCTGCTCTTGCCTATCATTGTTCTGCCCTGCAGCTAAGAATTGTTTTTACATTTTTAAGTAGTTGGAAAAAAAATATTTTGTGACGTGAAAATTATATGAAATTCACATTTTTAGGGTCCTTAGAGTTGTGTTGGAATGCAGCCACACTCGTTCATGTAGGTGTTGTCTGTGGCCGCTTGCACAGTACAGTAGCATGGTTGAGTGCTCAGAACAGAGACCAGATGGCCAGCAAAACCCTAGAATATTTACTCGTTGGCTCTTTACAGAAAAGTTTACCAACCTAGATCCACACTTAGGACAATTTCAGTAAAAAGTACAAAGTTTAAGTAATTTAAAAAGGGCAGCAAGGCTATACCTGATTAATTAACAAATGGGTACTGGGTCCCGTTGGTGTAGGCTATATGGTCTGGGAAGTCTTTAGGGAGAAACTGGTTTGGGTGGCTGTTTGTCTCCCTTGCAAAACAGAAATGATGTGGTTGGTCTGTCAATGTACCTGATTTTCAGTTGACTAAAAGATCTGAGGAGTTACGAAAAAAGGAAATTAGGGAAGAATGAAGAGAATTTTGGAATCATTTGCTACAAGTACAAACATATAGACTTAACTTTTGCCCATTAAGTATTTTCAGTGTAACTTTGGGTGTTTGAGAATTTGTAATTTGACTGTTTATATAGTAAACTGTTGGTATATGTTGTGTGGTTAATAAGGTATATTTATTGGAATGCTTTAGACTGTACATATATAAGACCTAGAATGAAGATCTTGTTCAGCTCTATGCCTTCGATTTTCAGTTTTCAGGATTTGGGTTACATGTATCAGCAAATATAGTGCAAACTTTTTTTTTTTCGTGAGGAAAATTGTCCCTGAGCTAACATCTGTTGCCAGTCTTCCTCTTTTTGCTTGAGGAAGATTGTCTCTGAGCTCACATCTGAGCCACTCTTCCTCTATTTCGTGTGTGGGATGCCACCACAGCATGGCTTGATGAGCAGTGTATAGGTCTGCACCCAGGATCTGAACCCATGAACCCCAGGCCGCCAAAGCGGAGCAGGTAAACTTAACCACTATACACCGGGCTGGCCCCTGT